TAACAGATCCATCTCCACGACAATTCCATTAGCTGAAGAAGACGCTGTGATACGGTGGAAAGGAACAGAAAAAGGTAGCAAAGTGGCCACAAGTCAGGTTACATGCCATTATTCCCAAAACATCCACCACCAAGAGTCAAACTAATGAGTAAGAACATTTTTATTTGTATATTATTCCTGTCATTAACTGATGCTTAGTGAAACAACTAAAAAAACAAGAACAGTGAGCTGGAATGATGACTGGGGCAACATAAAACCATAACGGATTTGGCTTTGAGCGTAGTATTTCCCCCGTAGCTGGAGTTGTGACTACATGGGCACTGTAATGCCTGGATTACTTCCAGTGGGCCTTGGTCACAGCCCGCCCTTTCATAGGACTACCATCTGTGCCACTCAGCAAATCCCAAGGTCCAGCTTTCATTCTCTGAGGCTGCTCTGCATTACATCATCTCATCACGCTCATTTAGTGTGCATGATCGTGGGAGATGCACACTCACACGCAAGTCTAGAGTTCTGTTTGCTGCAGTGCTCTCCCACACAACTCAAAAGGCAGCAAGTCTATGGCACTAAATATATGTTTAATACTTGCAACAGTTAGACGACCAACAGCGATCCTTTGATCACATTCAATGGGCTTGGACTTCCTGGATCCAGTTAACCTTGTTTGGCAGATGGACTCAAAACATGAGATTGCACAGCAACTTCCCAGATGGTTCTGTGTAACAATTAGGCATGGGACAATGATAATTTCATGTCATAATTATCCTGGCCAAAATAAATGCAATTCACGATATTATCCCAATAACCATCAAAATACTTACTACTAATACTTACTTAAATACTAAAATGGCACTAAAACATATAACATATTTTTTTCAAGGTCATATTGATATGATTATAAGTAATCAAGGAAACCGATAACCAAGTGTCAAAATTTAGAATAACCAGTGGTGGAGTGAAACATTTACTCAAGTACTATACGGAAGCAAAATTTTGAGGCATTTCCATTCTATGCTACTTTACTTTATGCTACTATGCATTTTGGAGGTAAATACTGATCTGATAACTTTAGTCACTTTGATTCACATTATTAATACAAATATAAATCAACTAATACATTATGACGTATTATTATAGATTAAGCTACCCAGCAGTATAAAGTAATCAAACTTAGCTCCACCTTTACCAGCTGCAACAACACATAAGTGATTAACACATTTATGCATCAGTAATTATAATACAATATAATATACATTATTCTGAAATGGGCCAATCTGGCCACTTTTATTTTTGCTTCTTAAAGTCTATTCTGATACTATTACTTTTGTGCTTTTTCTTGTAACAGTTTACATTTTTACGTAGTGACATTGCTAATTTAACTTAAGTAGTAAAAGATCTGATTACTTTACGTGTACATTTAATTAAATGCTGCAACTTTTCAACGTTATTGTTAAACTTATTACTCTACTATTAATCATGACATGTAACCAACAGATAGCGCTGTAGACGGGACACCAGACTACAGACAGAGAGAAAGAAGCGACTGCATCAGAGCGAACTTTGAAAAAGATAGCAAAACCAATAAACTGAAAAACGCTGAATATCGGATCCGATACAGTTAAATATCCCTACTCAGACTGGCACTTCATCTTCCTGACATTCTTTTGTTTGGAATCCATAGTACCGTATTTCGGCATATCCGGTTTGACTTTCTTTGTGGGAGATCCAACTACTCGATTCATCCATGGAATAATGCTCAGTTCCTAAAATAACCGATAGCTGCAGCCCTTTCCTTGACACCTGCATACTGTGATAGAACTTGCAGCCTTGCTTTCACTAGAAGTCTGCAAGGTGAATTGGACGAAGAGAGGGGTGAAATAGAGCAAGTGTGTGCCAGAGAGAGCAAGAAATGGTCCACACTGCACTTTGATAAATAATAGGAAATAACATAATCAGCCACTCTGTCCCCTGATAACGAAGGACAGGCACTTTGACAGGACTGAACTCAGGCTGAGACAAGTCAGTAGTAAGAATACACATTTGTCTTGTTGCCATGCTGCTGTAAGAAGGCTCCTTTCAGCAGTCTGCCACCAGTATGTGCACGTCCACTGGCTGAGTTTTGATGACTTTCATTTGTTACTATTTTTTTAATTTGGTAAGTAACCAGAATGAAATGAGGACCTAAAAACACAAGTTACTGTTTAGTTTTGCTTTCTCTTACACACACACACACTTTCTACTTCACTCTTTTTCCTCTTTCCATTTCACTCGCTTCTTTAACTTATTAACAATGTTTGTTCACTTTGGACTTTTTCCATGTACTTTCCGGTATTTGATCAACAACAAAAAACAACCTATGAGAGCCAAGAAAGATAGTTGATTGAGAGTCTCATTCCCAGCGTCATATACAGATGGTTTTGGACCCTGGGAATGAGACTCAACAATCAACTATCTTCAAGCTTCCAACCCAAAAAGTCTTTATATTTTTCTCGGCTTGATTTGTGGTTTTTGTTCAGGCCCAGTGGTTCTTGCAAATGCCAGTAGGAGCACTAGAAGGAGAAACCTAATTAAGGGGACAACATGCAGCAAAGGGCCGCAGGTTAGAATCTAACCCAGTCTGCTGAAGTAAGGACTCAGCCTACATGGAACCTTTTTATTTTCAATGACACACCTGAAACATCCCTGCAGTCACACACACAGTTTAATGGCGATTGTTAAAGATGCCTGTATGTGGGAGGTAACAGCTGTCCACATGAAGATAAACGATACAAATCTGTGACAAGGTTGTAGATCCGGATAAGAAGAATACAATCATGAAAAAAACAGAAAGACTGCAGCACTGTTAATCTACAGAGCAGGCCTCTCTCAAACACAAGCTGTCTGTAAGAGAGCACCAATGAGGCCAGCCACCAAGAGGCCTATGTCCTTAAGCAGCCTCAGCAATCCGTGGATGACATGAGAGGAAAGTGTGCATATAGCAACTGTTGCCTGGGTTCTTTAACACTCGTAGCTTTATGGCAGACAGGCAAAGAGAGAAGCACTGTTGAAAAAATCTCACATGACATCTGGACTAGTGTTTGCTAGAGGGTGTATAGAAGACTCTGAGACAAAGTGAAAGTAGGCTCTCCCGTCTGTGGAGACCCAATGCGTTTTGGTCATAATACTAAATGTAGTAGTACTGTAACCATTATTTTTTACGTTGACTCCCCACAAAAGTGATACCTAAAAAATGACTAAGAACTGCAAGTGGGAGGGAAGGAATATAAAATCTTCTGACTCATGGAGTGGAAGATTTTATTTTAGATTATGGTGGAGAGTTTGGTCCCCCAAAAACATGTCTCTGCCAGTGTGACAGTACAACAAGAACCATGTCTAAAATATGTTTTAAAGTCTACATTGTACTAAGAAACAGGCTATTTGTTTTATAAACCAAAATGTGGTTTGGTCTGCAAGTTTGTCAGACGTCACCCAAATTTACAGATTATCTATGAAACACAATCTACACACTACTAAGGCTGCACAATTACTCAAAATATTATCGAAATGGCAATAGGGCCAGGTGCAATTTTCAATTGAAAGAAGCAGCATTTTGTTTGATAAAGTTAAAATGTGTGACAAACAGCATTACAATGAAGTACTGTAGTGCTGCAGAGATGCCATGGCCTACAAATCTACAAATTTCAGTGAAAATGTAAAAAATTGTAATGCAAAAACAAACAATCCGACAAATCTTGAATCATATCGCAATACTTTTTTTTTTACTGTATCATGCAACCATAAACGCTACACACAATTCAACCCATCTACCACCACTCACGGGAAACCCACAACCTTGGGTGAAGGGGCGTGTACACAGCCGCTCTTTGCGCAGGCAAATTGTAACTTAGTTTTACTAAACAGTTCCCATTTCTGTCTGCTGGAAGTCACACAGACAGTATTAGAGAGGGCAAGCTCATGTGGACAAGGTCCTGGGTTCAAGTCCCAGGGTGATTAAGTCTTCACTTACTCTGCAAGCTTCTCAAGCTCTCTTCTTCTGTGAAACCATGCATTGTGCTTGGACCCCGTCAACTGCTGCCTGTGGCTAACTGTATTTGAAGTATCCAGTTTATTCACAGTGGAAAAATTACAAAGTATAAATGTATCAAGTACCTGCATTTAGACTACAAAAGTGCTTGCATTTTGAATATGATGTTGATAAGACACAGCAGAGGTGAATGGAAATGAAAGAGCTATTCACTGCAAGAAACATTGGAAAAGAATGTGGGAGGGCTGGGGATTGCATAGGAAAAAAAGTGAGAAATGCTCAAAATGTATTATCTATATTTTTTTTTTTTTTATTCACATTAGGCAGCAGTATTTGCTTGGCAGCTACTGTTGTTGACATTGGAACTGCTCACTCTGGATGAACTACCAGTGGAATACAAGTGTGAAATGTAATCTAATTTCCAAAGAATAAAACAATTGAGGCACTTGTAGCCTGCTTTAGCAATTAACACACTTCCAGCTGTTTGTTTTGGAGAAATGCACTTACAATTGTGACCTCAGGTTAGCTTTTTTTTCCATATGGTAAAAATGTTATTCATTTGTTACTATATTATAATGCATCAATGTGGAGGTCTGGCTATGTGAGACTAGGGACGAAGAGATATAGTAAAAGTCATGGCAATATATCACCTAGCTTACAGTATCTTGACAGATCGCAGTGTATTGGATCACATGTATCGTATCGCCAGATCCTTGCCAATACACTCTGCTAATTCTAAGATTATACACTTATGAAATAGTACCTAGAAATATTATGTTCAATTTCTGTCAATGGATCCTCTTAAATGTTACACACTGGACCTTTAACATTCTGGTAAGTAGTCTGGTGTTTAAACGGCTTTAGTAGGCCTACAGGTGCTTCTATATATGGTGAGGAGTAACTTCAGCCGACGAGTTTTGGCTGTTGACATGGGAAACAGTGCTTGGCGTGGTAAACAGCGTGTTGTTGAGCCTACCTGATTTTGTAGTTTGGTAAGGTGTGTTTCTTTTTGATGACCCGTTTGAGCTGGTTAACTATGATGGAGGTTAGCTGAGGCAGCGGCCTTCCTTCGAACTGTGACTTCGCCTCAAAATCTACCAGTGGGTCCTCGAGGAAGGAGAAGGACCAATGGGAGAAGGGCATGCGCGTGAACTGCAGCCTCAGCCTGCCCACCACGCGCCTCATCTTAACGAACAGGTACGCGGACTTCCCAAACACCAGCTCTACGTCGATGGCGAGGTGAAAGCCGCCATTGTACTCGATGTCCACCTCAAAGTTGAGCTCCTCGGGCATACCGTCCTCGTTCAAATGCACCGGCTTCATAAGTTTGGCCGTTTTAAAGACCGGCAGAGAATTGCCCAGGGAAATGTCCCTGAGACTGAGTCCCTCCAGGAGCCGTCCTGCTGTCTTGGTCTGCAGCAGCTCCTCAAACTCCACCTTGATCTTTTTGGTGAGCCAGTGTCTGACCACAGGGGTGTCCCGGAGCTCTCTGAATAGGAACAAAAATATAGCGTTTAGGAAATGGCACGTTTCAGGTTTGTCCGCATCAGCGAGCTCGCTTTGGGAAGGCGGTGGCGGATGTTTGGGGCTGCCGCCGCTGACAGCCGCTTCCTGCTGCCGGCCTGAGACGGCCTCTTGCTGTTTGGATGCAGCAGATGCTGAGCTGTCCTGCTGCTGCTGGCCTGGTTCGGCATGTTGGGTATTAAAGTAATCCTTCAATGCGTTATCAGGCACTACTTTGACATACTGTTCTGTCCTGCCTGTGGGCTCGGGGTTTCTCCGGTATATCAGCAAGAACTGTAATATCAACGTAACGAGCGCTCCGGAGAACGCGGAAATCAATATTAAGTAAATCATTGTGAGTAGCTGCCGTCTCAGAGTCAGAGGGGTTTCATAATCAAACGCTCAGCCATGTTAACAAAGCAAGTTCCACCTGGTCGCTCTCAAAGCTGCCATATCATCTGCTTCTTTCCGGAGCTTCAGGCTCTTCACCTGATTGGACAAACGGCTTACGTCGCTGTGCGTAATGACGGAGGCATGTGTTTCTTTTGTTGCGTTCAAGGTATGTCGGATTTCTCACCTGCCGATTAGGAAAACCTGTTTGCAGGGTGCGAACTACAGGGGGAGCAAGGGGGAGCTTGGCCCCTCTTAACAATACATGAGCTCTCCTGATTGGGGAAGTTTTGGGGCATATTGACAATATGCTATTTTTTACATGCTTTTCTACTTTTCTATATTTCCATCATCATGTATCATATGTAAAATTAGGCTATTATTGATGTATAATTGGTGTATGATTGTGATTCATCAATAATTCACTTTAATAAAGGTTATCATAATTATAAACAATTTTTTTCTTCCTTACCCCACACACCACACACACTCATATTACCCACACCGACCCTTCTAATTTCAGCTTTCTTTCAACTGTTTTTGTTTTACTCTGTGTATGTTAATTTTTGCATCTTTTCACTTAAAAAAAGATAACAGATAATCATGTTACGTTACTTTAATATTGTATTTGGATTAGGTTACTGATTACGTATTATGACAGATAATCAGTAACTGTATCAGACTACATTTTTAATTTAACCCTCCCAACCCTGGCAGATCTCCCATTTGGCATGGAGGAAAATGTGTCACCACAAGCGACACTGCAACAGAACTTAAAATATTTTTATCAGACCCTTTTCTTTGATGATAAAGAGAGCTGAGCACATAGATGTGGCAGCATATTGCTGTATCAGTGGTTGTCAAACTTTTTCGGGCATTACCCCTTCCGAAGCTGAAAAAGGTTCATGCTGCACACCCCACAATTTTTCGCAATCTTTAACTGTGATAGGGCAACTAAAAATAATTTAAAAGAGGTTGAATTTTAGTGAATTAAAAAAAAAAACTGCGGTGGCTGCAGAAGATACAAACACCACTATCAGAGGCAGTGTTTGGTTTGTCATATGTTGTAATGGAAAAAAGAACCAGTCAGTAATTAAATAGAAGACAGTTGGACAGTGCAACTTTATCCCCTTAAATTAACACACACACACACACACACACACACACACACACACACAGAGAGAGAGAGAGACACACACACACACACCTCTTAACATAAATGCTCCTTTATTTATTTGGATGGAATGCCTCAGTTTTTCCCAGTGTCGATATCATGTAACTGTAAATCGAGAAGTATAACCATATGTCTGATTCATTTGCAGTGAAACAGGCCACACCAGTTGCTCCCTGTTCAGATCTTGTATCTTGTATCCAGATATACCTGTGTCACGTCACACCCTCTTCTGGGCAAAATGACACCTGATCCATCACTGGTCAGGAGACACTCAGGCCTGAATGGTAGTCATCTTAAAGAAAATTTAACTTTTTTTTTTTTCCTGAATTTTGCTGTCAATTTAAGGTTAGTATAACAATACAATTGCCATTTGTTTGTAGAGACAAGGTGCACAACCACTACACTGGCAACAGTTTTACCATCAAGTGTCCAGTCAGCAGCTTTTGGTAGCAGTGAAGTGAATGAAAGTGAAAAAAAAATTCTATGATAAGAGATACAATACAGCACTGCACCATCAGTGTCTACTTGTGTACTTGTTTGTTGCTTTCTTCTTCTTCGGTGAGGTTTTACGGCAGTTAGTGGTTGCGTTGAAAGTAGGAATATTGAATATAAAATGTGGTTTATTAACTTACATAAACTTTACATTTTTATTGAACTTATTATAATATAATTATTTTAGGAATTATGCATGACTAATATTCACGTACCCCTTGCAGTATGCGTACCCCCATTTGAGAAACACTGCCAAGGCCCCACAAATAGCATTAGCTCATTGCAAAGGCCCCCTGTTAAATCGTAAGTCTCCTCCCCACCTCCTCCCCCACTCCTCTCTTAACCACTTCCCCAAGATTATAAAGCTCCACCCTTTAGATCTTATTTCCCTCTTTTCCCTCCAAACCACACAGAAGAACAAAGAGAACCTGCTATAAGTTTAACATGGACTTGTTCACCTTTAAAATATGATTTAATGTGTTATACTGTTTTAAAGTTAAAAAATGTTTCATGCTGTATTCTAGAGAGTTTTCCTTCTTGTTAAGAAAAGAAAAAACAAGACCAGATTGTTGATGCATTAATGATGTGAGTTAAATTATCTAATTTATTTCTTATTAGTAGTTTGTTTGTAATTATTCACATTTGTAAGATTTGTTTAAAATTCTTTTTGTATAAAAAAAATCATCCACCATTCACCATCCACGTCCACATCCACCAAACACCTCTGAAAACCATAACCTACACACCAACTAAAATAAACTGTTGAAACAGATTTCTGGATCCTGTGTTTAAATGTGCACACCTCATAGGATGTTCAGTGAACCAACACCATCAACGCAATAGCTTTTTCACCCCCCTTTTGATTGATCCAACTGTGATCCAGCCACACCTGCTCTCTGGCTTGTGTTTCCTTGGATGTCCAGCAGAGGTCCCTAGTGTGATCTTGTTTCTACCGTTTTATCTGTGAGCTGTTGTCTCCTCTTCCTCTGATTATTCCAGGTCCCTGGTCTGAGTTCAGTTCAAACAGGATTGTGTTGCTTTGTCTTCTGCCTGTTGCTTCTTGTGACAGTACTCTATCTAGCTGGGGTCCTGTCTCCTTTGCTTCCATATATTAAGTAAATCATCCATCTTTATGTCTGGTAGTGTTGGCCAGTAAGACATTACAGGTAATATAACTTTTCCTAATATCTAGAAGTGTAACTAATTAATAATATACTAATTCTGATAAGCCTTCAACTTGCCAGGGACTGCAGATGAAAATTTGCCTATATGGCTACATCTGGCATATTTACATAGTGAACTTAATTAATGTGCATTTCAAAGTGCAAAAGTTGAGCATTATCTGTTTTTCCGGACTGACAATAAAACCTTTAAAACCGAAGTATTCCAGGTTTTCCGGAATTTTGCTCCATTCATTCTTATGGAGGATTCGTTTAAAATTCCCAGTTTTTCATGAATCTTTAACTTTTAACTATTTGTTCAAAATCAATTCAAACTCTGAAATGTTCGACATCTTCCAGACATTTTAGGGATTGTTTTACTTTCAAATCCCATTAAAACTTTTTTAAAAAGTAAAATCTATTTTTTAATCAAAATTACAATGGAAGTCACTTAAAAAACATACTAATTTACATATAGTTCCCTTTAAACTACATTAAAAAAAAGAAAGATTAATGAGTCATAAAAATAGAAATATTGATTTGTATGATGAATTGTTGAGGGAGAATTTAACAGTCTCACAGCCTAAGGGAAGAAGCTGTCTTTAGGTCTGGTCATACAGCAGTGGAAGCTTCTGTACCTCTTCCCAGATGGCAGCAGGGTGAACAGGCTGTGGCTGTCTTTTAGTATCCACCTCACCTAACTGATATCACTGACGCTGGGCAGCTGAGCACCAGTAATCTTTTGGGTAGTTTTAATCCCCCACAGATAGATAGATAGATAGATAGATAGATAGATAGATAGATAGATAGATAGATAGATAGATAGATAGATAGATAGATAGATAGACTTTATTGATCCCAAGCTGGCATTACACACAGTAACAACACAATGAAGTAAAGAGAACAACCTAGACATATCAAAAAAGCAATATAAAATAAAAGTATAAAAATGTATAAATAAGCGGTATATGGAGCAGCCTGTGAGAGAAGGTGCTCCACTGTCTGACCACTGTGTGATGGAGAGGGTGCTGATCATTGTCTACGATGGATAACAGTTTATTCAGCGTTCTCCTCTCCACCACGTACGATGATACATTCACATAGAAAGTTCAATTAAATTACATTTTATTTGTACAGCGCCAATTCATAACGGAAGTTATCCCAGGACACATAGAGCAGGTCTAGACCGATCTCCTTATTACATTATTTACAGAGACTCAACAGTACCACCATGAGCAAGCACTTGGCGACGGCAGCAAGGGAAAAACTGCCTTTTAAGAGGCAGAAACCTCGGACAGACCCTTCGGAAGAGGTGCACAGCAACAACAGTAGCAACAACTAATAGTTGTGACTGATAATGATGAACATGAAAAAGATGATGGTGACAACAATGAGCAGTGGTTATAGTAATGATAGTAACTGTAGTAATAATACTAGTAATAATAAAAATAATATCAGTGATATTAGCAATGGCAGTCAAGCAGGACCATGGCAGGAGGCTCCACTAGGATCCATGAGAACCTGCGAGACGAGAAAGCACAAGAACTCCGGGGAAGAAGTGAAGTTAGTAACATGCATTAATGGAACATGAATGAGTGCAGAAAGAGAGAGAGAGAGGAAGAGAGGAGCTCAGTGCATCATGGGAAATCCCCCGATAGTCTAGGCCTATAGCAGCATAACTAAGGGATGGTTCAGGACTCACCTGATCCAGCCCTAACTATAAGCTTTATCAAAGAGGAACGTCTTAAGCCTACTCTTGAATGTGGAGAGGGTGTCTGCCTCCCGAACCACAACTGGAAGCTGGTTCCACAGGAGAGGAGCTTGGTAACTGAAGGCTCTGGCTCCTGTTCTACTTTTAGAGTCTATAGGAACCACAAGTAGCCCAGCATTCAGAGAACGCAGTGTTCTAGAGGGGTAATAAGGTACTATGAGCTCTTTAAGATATGAAGGGGCCTGACCATGAAGAGCTTTGTAGGTAAGGAGGAGTATTTTAAATTCTATTCTAAATTTTACAGGGAGCCAGTGCAGAGAAGCTAGTACAGGAGAGATGTGATCTCTTTTTCTAGTTCCTGTCAGTACTCATCTGAATTAATTGGAGTGTCTTAATGGACTTAGTGGCAACCTGATAATAAAGAATTGCAGTAATCCAGCCTAGAAGTAACAAATGCATGGATTAGTTTTTCTGCATCTGTCTGTGATAGGATGTGTGTAATTTTTGTTATATTACGTAAATGAAAGAAGGCTGCTTTATGTGGGAATTAAATGACAAATCCTGATCAAAGAT